CAAATAAACTAAAATTCTGGTGACGCATGGATACCTCTGGAAGCATTTACCTAGAATACTGTGATAAGGTATTTTCCCAACGAAAATATGTACAGAAAAACGGGCGCCACACCTTCTGGAAAGTAACATGATCACAGGGTGTATCCCGAAAACCATTTTAAGCTAAACCTTCGGGGATTACATTCTTGCCAAGACCCACAGACATAAGCCGAAATTGCGTCGCAAGTTTTATGCTCGGCTTGGGTAAGGTTTAACCACTTAACCCCCCTTTGTTTTCGTCGCTACTGAATTCTATAAACTGTCAGCTTTCACNTTTCGTCGCTACTGAATTCTACAAACTGTCAGCTTTCACACAATTTAAAATATACAATTGTGCTGCTAGCTTCATGTTGCAAAAATGTTTCAAGGAAATGTTGTGGAATTTCACACTTATTTCTTGTTTATTTCTTATTATGCTATGCTTAAGAACAAAATATTTTTAAATCGACAAAACATTAATAAGAAAATTTGAAGGATTTTAGATATTGGGTATGGTAGCACGAAATGTCACAATCTGCTTAATTGTCNAAAGCAGCTGCTGACAAATACAATTTACAAATTTTCTTTTGTTTATGAAATTGTTCAAAAACTCGAAAATTTTGAACAAACATTTGAGCAGTTGAGCAATGAACGAGTTTCGAGCGAGTATCGAGCTACTCGCATTGCTCGATACCCGGGTATCTAGAGCTCTAATATATATAGACAAATGTATACACAAATGCTCAGAATGAATAGAGAAGTCGATTAAGCCATGTCCGTCTGTCCGTCCGTCCATGTGCACGATAACTCGAGCAAAAATTGAGATATCTCAACGAAATTCGGTATGTAGGTTTCCCTTTACCCAAGGTAGGTTGGTATTGAAAATGTGCGAAGTCGGACTGTAACCACGCCCACCCCCCTATATAATGGTATTTTCGAAAAATGCAAAAACTACGATATTTCAGTAAATATTGGATCCAAATTGTTGAAAATTAAGTAGTATGTGAAGTCGAATTTTGGCAAAAAATATGATGAAATGCTGTATCTCAGTAGCCGCTTCACCAATGCTTCCCAAACTCGGTACGAGCCTTGGTTAGGGTCTAACTAAGAAATCTGTTGAAAATAACGGTAATTTACAGAAACACGAAAACTGCGATAAATTGGTAACTACTGGGGCTAATTCACTTAAAATCGATGATTGCAATAACTACTTAGCAGAAAATTTGAATATTATAAATTTTTGGACAATGACCACAAATGTGTATCTCGGTAACCGATTTATCAATTTCAACCAAACTCGGTGCACCTTGGTACGGAAAGCAATTTGTTGAAAATTATTCAAATCGGACTAAAATTACACCCACTTCCCGTATAACGGTAAATTTTAGACATCCGAAAATTCCGATATTTCAATAACTGAGGACGCTTAACAATAAATAAGACTGCTATGGACTTATAGGTATCGGGCGTGGCACCGCCCACTTATGACTAAAAGGTGTATCTCGGTAGATTTCTGCCAAACTTGGTTCAATTATTTCATTAACTCTCGGAAATCGGGAACACCCCCCTGCTTATCATGCAAATGTAGTTTAGAGAAAGTTGAAACGACGATATTTGATACCTGCACCGGGTATATATGTAGCTGCAACAAGGTAGTAATTTCCGTCTTTCACAACGTGATCAATTTGGTGCTTAGTTCTTTGAGGACAGCCAAGTGGCTTTATTAATGTTCCTATACTTCTGTCTGATACTAAAAATGCATAAATACATAACAAGGGAAAATTGTGCTAAAAATTGGTATTTAACAATTCTTATTTATTTCATCTTAAAACAACAGACAACAGATGTCTAAAACATACTTACATATTTAGTTAGGATAATGAGTAAAAAGTAATGTAAGAAAATGTAAATGCATTTAACAAAACTACACAAACTGTTCATAAATCCTTCCACACGATACCCTCAATAAAATCCAAATACGCAGCAACACGCGTATAAAGACTTGGAGTGACGCTGGCGCAGCCACTACCAGCCGACACAATACCGATGACATGTACTCGCCGATATTTTTCGTCAAGGATGAGATTAAGCGGACCGCCGGAGTCACCCCAACAGGCGTCGCTGATCGAATTCGGATCGTGTGTGCACATTTGTGAATCCAATATGCCGCGACTTGGTAAGAGGCCTTCGCGCGCATAGGACGCGTTACAATCTGTGACTGAAGAAATTTTGACGCGCGCCGTCAGCAAGACATCGGATTTTGCGCGAGCTACATATGTATAACAATTAAATTATTAATTATTAGCAGAAGGAAAATAATTTCTTTAATGCATGACTACTTTTCAAGTTAGTGGTGCCCCAGCCGGTAACATTGAGTGCTGCGCTTGCTGGCGGATCAGCCACCTCTGTATGCAGACAAGCCGGAAAGACTAAAGATGAGTATTCGATCTCGTTTTTTAGCTCGATTATGGCAATGTCATCGTACTTCTGCAGACTATCGTAATCCTTATGAATATGCACGAGCTGTTTAGAGTTATTAGACTTAAGAATAATTATTTGCCCTTTAGAAATACTTCCTACACCCCATTCCTACCTCAATGGGTACATCTACAGCATTTTTCATTTGATCGGCATCGTTAAAATCGGTAACACCCAAACGTACAATAACCGGTACGCTATCACGACGATTAACACAATGCGCTGCTGTCAATACAAAGCGTTTAGCTATAAGCGTGCCACCACAACGTATCTCATAGGGCGGTCCACCTGCATTGATCGACGCATAGCCGATTGCAGCCATGTGCGGATATTCGCCCGGCGATACCGGTACGCCGCCAAGGACGAGTGGCACGGTGTAGGGCTCTAAGTATTCCTCGAGTAAGCGACAAGCTGAAAATAGAAGAGATATACTAATGAAATGTCAGATAAAATAGTGGATATGTTAAATTAAAATGTGTCTGCCTTTTAGTGCTTTTCGCTCCTGTCCACCAAAATCGCCTCGCGTATTATTAACGCCATTCGAATTCCTATTATCTTTTAAGAAATTGTCGGTAGTGTTGAAAATTCCCAGCACATTTGTAGACGTTTTCAAGGGACAGCAAATTATTTCATCATACGGTGTGAAACCACATCGCACTACATCTTTTCTTGAGAGTCCGTGAATTTGCATTTGCATTGTGAGATCTGGACAATTTCGGGGTAGAGCACATTTTCCAATGACTCCCTCTTTTACTACACAAGCGTCGCCTTCTGTAAGTTGATAAACAAATTATAAGTATATAGTATTACTAAGCATATTAATAAAACATGTACTTATTAGTGTGTTCGATTATTCGACTTTTTTTCCAAAATCGATTTTCGCGTTATTCGAAAAATTGCAATTTGTAAGAAACCGATTCCCGATTTTGAAATCAAGAAAAAAGCCGGATAAATGGTTTTGTTTTACATAGTTTTCATACGGTGATTAAAAGTTACAATAAAACTATTTATAGTAAATATAGCTTTTATTTAGAAAAGAGCAAAGCAAAATAAGTACAAAATATTTTTTTAGATCAAAAGTAAAACAAATAAAAATCAGTGAAAAATTCACGTTTGGTCTTAATTTAACTTTTTTTTAATAGATAATTTATTTCATTTTTTTCCAGGGACCGAGAACAAGTGCCAGTTTTGGTTTAGTTCTGCGCGAGAACAAAATGTAATATCAAGAACGTTCCCACAAAAGAGCGAAACGGAAACCAAAGTATTGAGAGCAGTTTGAACGGGAACCAAATGAGAGAAAAAGGTTGGGGAACATTTCCGGAAAGAAACCTTTTCAAGGGCGATCAAATAAGAACAAAAGTCTGCGGAACGTTCTGCTAGAGAATAAAACGAGAAAAAAGTTTTGAGAGCTTAACGATAAGACGGAGAGGGGCGTCTGTGTTATCTAATTATAAGCCAGCGGAAAACTGTATCATTTCAATTTCCTGATTGCTTATCATTAGGATGAACTGTCCATTTTTGAAAAAAATTTTACATGCAAGAAAAGTTTGTGTCTTAAGTCTTTCGTTGATTTAATTTGCTTAATTTTCTTTCAGTTCTTTTTTAATTAATTCTAATTTTCAAACATTTCAAACTAATGGAACGCTATGAGACACATTTTGTTCTCTTGTCAGGGATTGTCGTGCTGGTCATTCTTTTGTGGTTGGTTTCCCATAACTCTCCGTCCAGTAAACAAAATAAGTATGTAGTTGTGTAAAATTCAGCACATGACCGAACTATAGTAATTAGGGTGGTTCAAAAATGCATGTGAAAATTTTTTTATTTAACCATTTTCTATTAAAAACTATTTGTTATAGGACCCTAAAAAGCCTCAAAAAATGCAATGGGGGACGCAATTGAGGACCGGTTGCACCGGTTTAACAGGGACAACGGAGGTGGTATTTTTGGACCACCTCGTTATCAATGTCGAAAGCAAATGATGCATGAGGTGAATACCTTCATTCTTTCTCTTCTCTTTGTATTGTAAAAGGCACTGACAATGGACAACAATGTCTTCGAGTGAAAGTATGATTCATATACGTCCTTCGGACCATACGGAACCTAATCCCCGAAAGGTTGAGCAAGCTATCAGTCGACGGTGTAATTATCTCCATATGTGTGAGAACAGGAAGATTTTGACTACAAAATTAGAAGCACGGCCAAAAATTTAGCAACCACCAAAATTTAGTTTGCTTTTTTTGGAGTTCTTTGTGACAGCCTAAAGGAATCGAGATAGATAGAGACATATATATATATACCAAAATACTCAGAATGAAAATAGAAATCGATTTAGTGATGTTTGTCTGTCCGTTCGATGAGATATCTTAACAAAACTTGGGACGTGCATTTCTTTTGAGCTAAGGACGAAGGGTTTTAAATGGGCAAAATCGGGCAATAATCTTGCCTACCACCCATGTAATGGCAGTTTGCAGAAATACATACATAAACTACATTTTTTTTATTGATAGCTAAAGCTTATTTTCACTTCAGACGCTATGGCTGAGTGGTTAGGAGTGCGTACTACTACTCCAAAGGGCATTGATTGGATCCCTGGTCCGGGAAATATTTGAAATTAGAAAACGTTTTTTTATAACAGCGGTCGCCCCTCGGCAGGCAATGGCAAACCTCCAAGAGTATTTCTTCCATCAAAAAGCTTCTCATAAAATTTAGGCAGCGTAAAATTATAACACAGCTAGTTAAAGAAATTAATCTTTATTTTATCGCATAATTTTTTTTTCTTTTTGTATGTGATACAACTTTATGTATTTCTTTTCCTTACTTTACTTACCATTTGCGCCCGTTCCTCTTGAGGCTGGTACCGGTATTGCATTCGAAATGCAAAAAAATGCAGTTATTAATACAAGCACGTGAATCCAAAATTTCGCTGCGCGTCTCAATGGAAGGGACGGTATAAACATTATTGTTTCTGAGCCCCGTGGAAAGGAAGAGCGTAAGCTTACTAAGCAAATCTGTAGCGCAAAGAAAATCGTATCTTATCACCGCGGCAAATTAAAATAATAAAACTACAGAGAACGAATTCGCAACTTAAAAGACGCTGTTCGGCGTACTCTCAGCTTAAATAATAGCTGTCGGAAATGTCTATTGACATATATGCACATACGAGTATAATCTATCTTACACCATTTGTTGCTCACTTGGCACTTTGTTAATTGCTTGCGTCCGCTTTGGAGCGTCGCTTAGAATGCAAAGTCAGCTTAATTGTTTATGTCCATATATGTATACATAGCTTAGATCACTGATCGTCTGTATGTATTTATTTAGCTTTGTTTGAGTTGCGAGCGCAGATTGTAGCGTTTTCACCTACGCCAACTACGGCTGATTTTATTTTCAATTGGATTTTTATAAAAATTAATTTATCTGTATATTGAACGTGCACTTATGTATGCTTGCAATTGTTAAAGCAAAATTTTTTGTACAAAAATATTTGCAATTTTCGAAGAGTTAGCCGCTTTTGAATTAACGAAATTACTTTGCTAGAAAAAATTACGACTCTCTCGCTCCAATGCAGCGCGAAGACTGAGACAACCGATCTGTCTCTTGATCGATTGATATTTTTGACTACTTGAAACAGAGGAGTAAGATTGAATTAAAAAACTCTGTGCTACAGCATAAATAACTCGCAGGTTTAATTACCCGTTTTTCTCGGCAACAACAACAAAAAGTTTTAAACATAAATTAATTTCACTGGATTAAAAAATCGATCGATGTACAATATTTTGTATTTTAATTTTTTTGCTATTTTTTATAAAAACTGTTCGAAATTCAATACATTTTCATGCAAACTTTGAATTTTTTAATCAGATTTTTTAGAATTTTTTTGAGTATACAGTTTTGCAGCCCAATAAATTTTGAACGTGGTCAGGTGTGTTCACAAACGACAAACTTATTGCACTTCAAATTAATTTAGCTTTCTTACTTGTAGATCACTCCACCAGACCAAAGTTGCAGTAGCGTTGACGGTACCACACCCAAGAATTATAGAATATCAAATTGCTCATTCCAAGTACAAATAAACAAAGCCGAATAATAGAAATGTCTACTATGAGACTGTGTTTATTCTTCAAGAAAAATAACATCTATGCTGAATTAGGTAAAATAATACTTCATTTTGAATGAAAGTCCACATATTTGTTGTCATATTTATTTTCATTTGCTTTCAAAAATATAAATATTTACTTAATCTAGATATTGTAATGGAAATCACTTATAAAATTGTATAAGTTAGCCAAGTAAAATTTTTGTACATGCATATATGTATACATATCTCATCGTATATTATAAAGTCATCAGCCATCAGGCCACACAATGCTTTCGATAAAGTCCAAAAATTCCGCCACCCTGGTATAGACACCGGGTAACTTTGTACCACAAAGTAAACCAAACGAAACGACACCAACAACCCTATAATTGCCAAAGGATTTATCTTTGACTAGATGCAATGGACCGCCTGAGTCACCCCAGCAAGCGTCTCGCCCCGGAGCAAAAGCACAAAGCTGCGTCTCGTCAATGCCATGAAGTAAATGACGATCCATCTGATCCGCATAGCTAATGTTGCATTGTGCAAGCGTTACCGCATTCAGCTTGGCTGCCAACAAGCGAGCTGAAGTTGCTATAAAACGAATAAAATATATTCAATGAAAAATGCAATTCATATAAAAATTAAATTTCATGAATGTGGCATACTCTTATTTTCGGTGACTCCCCAACCGGTCACAATCAGTTCGGTGTTATCCGGCAAATCCGTAAGATCAGTGTGCAGGCAAGTTGGGTAAACCTTGACACTATATTCAGCATCTTTAGCCAATTCAATTAAGCCAATATCAAAATAATTGAAAAAGCTTGAATAGTTCTCGTGTACGTAGGTGGCCTGCAATGTAAAGGGAGGGAAATAAGTATGTATATAAATGGGCTGTCACGAATAACTTATCACCACTATTTTTTTAATTGAGGTAGAATTTTGTAAATTAAAAAAAATAAT